ATGCCAGATTGGATGGTTAATGCCTTTTTAACTCATTGGTTCAGCCAGCGTTATTCTCTAATAATATCGCATCACTCTGAACATTCGGGGAAGGGAGGAGGGTGGTGCTTCCTTTGCGATGTCTATAAATAAATCGTTTTATGCTGTTTTCAGAATGACTACCGAGGCAAGAACTAAATACTCAATCCAAAAAATCAGTGTATATTGTAGGGAATCACAAAAATGTCCCGCACACGGTCATCTTAAGCGTGAAAGATCGTGTCCTGTGCCTCTGTAGAGAAGGAGTTAGCGGTGTCTCGGTTACCGTAACCTATTTTAAAGGTTCATTTCATCAGTCATTACTCTTGGACTGTAGGAAACGTGACACTTCGTCTTGATTCGTTCTATCCTTCACTCTGATCCTTGCCTGTTGGTGGGCAAAGCACAGGCGAGATCGACTATATCGAGAGTTCCCTGCTGACAAATTAAAAGTAGAAATTTATTCTACGGTATTAATTGAGTCGCTTCCTCATGATGGCATGATTTTCTATTCCGTTCCTCTGTTCAGCAGTTGCCGGCCGTAGCCAGACGCCAGTTGTTATTGTTTTCTTCTCTCCTCTCTATCCAAACCTTTGAATGATGGTTGCTGTAAAGATACCTCTTTCTAAGGAAACGTTTGCTTCACACTAGGGTTGAGTAAACTACATGATTTATGGTCAAGGTTGTTTCGTAGCTGAAAGAAATTAATTTAAAACAAGTAATTTTTATCGGAAAATTAATTATGTCCATTCTGCTGTCATTTTGCATAGATTATGATTAACATCTTTGCAGGATATTGATTGTTCGCTTGAACACTGTGTTTTCTAAAATTTTCGCAATTTCAATCTATGTATGGTTTAAATGAACTTTTGCACTGGAACACAGTAATAACAGCTCTTCTAAAGCCATAAATCAAATGAAATAGGTTTGTTTTGAAGCCGCAGACTCGTTTTGCAGTAATACCATCTTCGAAGTCTAAAATTCATGTTTTTAATGCAAAAAATAAATCATTTTTTCTCAAAGAAAAGGTTTTAAATTTTTCAGCAGTTTATCTGTATAAATAGAAGTATTTTGAACAGTCTCAGCTTGTGCAAATATTTTTTGTGCTATTTGTCAATCGTTCGTCACATACTTATTATTAGATCTTTATTTATTTATCTTTACATCATTATTGTTTGTTTATGAGTTTTTTTCCGAAGGCCGTTATAGTACGGAACACGTATAATATGGTAAGTGATTAATTACGATCGAACTGACAGGGATATTGATGATATTTTCAAGAATAATGCTCCTTTGATTATATTGGTTCCTTCTCATGCCTGGTGCGCTTCTTGTCCAACTCTTTTTTGTCACAGTTTCCTTCCGGTATGTTTACCGGATCCACTGATATGCGGTAGTTGCAATTTGCTTAGCTGTGACTACGAAATACGGGGAGAATTTGCGCAGAACTAGAGCTGAGCAACGGTATCGGAGGGTACAGACATCTATTTTATGGTTTTGACTGTTGTACAGTAGCCGGAAGAGTGTTTCAAGGTACTAGCGACAGAAATGAGATTTTCTTTCGAATGACCGTTGATGTGACGAAGCTTGATGACAAGCTCTGGAAGTGCAGCAGATAGATACTGTAGCTTTTCAGGGTCCAGAAATCACAATTGTGAAGTTGTAGACATGCAGTGACAATCAAGATGCTAGAGAAAAAATCACCAGATGAATTTTCTTAAAAGCAGCATAAAATCACGGCTGCCAAGGAACAGTCAAGAATAAAATTTCTCGGGCATTCTGAGCATATATCATTGTCCCTGTTTGAATTCACCTGGTAGAGCTTGCCAGATTCGAAGAGGGTAGGGACCAACCCATATTGTAATTGCTATCCCCGTGAGCTGAGAGGAATAGCAGGCTTTGAAAATGGACAAATGACTTTCATACTATATTTATGAGTAAGGATACTCATTTGACAAGATCGAAAGCGCTGAGCATTTCCTAGTTTCATTAAAATCAACTTAATTCATTGCAGATCGATAACCGTTTATCATAAACAAAAAGCAACCTGTAATTAAGTCAGCCACGAGGGTGAACCGCGATCGGCTGATCGGGCATTGCCGAACATGGGTCGCTGGTCAACTTAGTTCCTTATCAAGACTCCTCGTGGGAAGCTCATCGTTCGTTCCT